TTTTTTTTTTTAATGGAAATCATTTTCAATTTTCTTTTTGCAGTTTTGGCCAGGGCTGGGTTTGAACCTACCACCTCTGGCATATGGGGCCAGCGCCCTACTCCTTTGAGCTACAGGTGCTGGCCCATTTCCAATTTTCTCTTGTGTATCTGTAAGGAATCAAAGAAAAAGCAATATACATTGATAATAATCTCTGACACTTAGGACGTATTCATTAAAAGGTAGTTTTTACTTTTAGCTGGCCTATGGGTTGAAGAGAAACAAAACAAAAAAATGAATCCCAAGTGATATCATCAATGTTTTGAGGGAGTATGGCTAGGAGGAAAGCCCAAGAGCAGGAACACAGTGACCTCAGATGACTGAAAGTAAGACATAGCTTTGTGATGTTGGGGTGCAGCACGATGTAGATTAGTGCCTAGGGACCAGGGGCAGTTCAAGATTTACCCTATCTTAAGGTAAGCAGGCAAGTTTCACCTTGAGTCCAAAGGGCAGGAAAAAGATTCTTACCAGAAGGCTAAAGAAAATTACTCATTTAAATTGTAAAGGATGGATTTAGGTGAAATGTGTGAGAAATACCACTAAATGTCAAAAATGGGGATTATGGGAGAGAGATTGTGAACTATATGGAAATGAAAATTGGAAGAGTTTGGAGTAGACTGTTTTAAACATGTTCTGACCTAGAGGAGTTAATCACTGTGATGTGTAGGGCAGCTTTACCAGAGCAACAGTGTTTTCTTTGTGCTATCTGTCAGTTGGTTGTAGGGACTGTGAGAGATGTGTATTGAGCTCTTGTACTCCCAGCACTGAACACTAATGTTGTAACTAGGAATTAACTAGACATCATCCCTTCAGGGAGTCTCAGTCAAGTGGACCATCTTGGAGAGTGAGAGGCAGGCAGATAGAGAACTGATGATAGGGGGCAAAGGAAGTGCTATAGGAGTGATTCCCGATGGCATGATCTAGGTGGAGCATCCTCCTTTATGTACTGTATCCATGCCTATGCCCTAGTTTGTGACCAGGTAATAGCTACTAAATCCCAGTGACATGTTTTGAGTTAGAAGTCCACTTTGGTGGGGGTGGATACTGACCTATACCCTGACTTCTAAAAATGAATCTTGAATTCCCAGCATTTGTCTTTCTCTACATATGGCCACACCAGACTCTTCAGAGCATGATCCTTACACTGTGAGGCAGTTGCATTTTTAGGGTTATATTTTCCCTTTTGAAAGATAAAACTAAAATTTTTCCCATGATATGAACCAGTACAGTACATTCCTCAGTTATACTTTAAGAATTTTTGCTTCTTTCTTTCCTTTTCTAAACAATTGAAGATAATTTTTTCTACTGCATGTCCCTTGACTTTTAATGAAAATATTTATTTTATACAAGAAGTGCTACCATAAGTACTGATAAGCTAACTTAAAATTGTACCTGCACCTGAACTTGATGATGAACAGATGATATGGAACAATCATAAAGACTGATCATACTGGATGCTAAGACACAAAATTGGCAACGCTCTATAGCACTTAAATGACACTTAATGATTTTGACTTTTTTTCAATTGTTTCCTCTTTTTAGGCAGAATGGCTAATGCAGACCTGGTGAAGTATGGTTTAGCTGATGTAGTAGAAAATCCTGGTATCATCACCGATATAGGGATGAAGGCTGTCAATGAAGTTTTCTCCTGTATCAAATATCTGGCAATTTACAATTGCCCCCATCTACACAACCCATACAATTGGATCTCAGGTACCGTAGACTTAAAAATATAGCTATATTCATTGATCTTGAGAGAATATGTCTTTCTCTATGTGATATATATTTGCATTTCTAATGTAAAGTGAAGAATTTTGGTATGAATTGTTCGTGCAAGTTCTGGGAACCTTTGCTAACCAAATCAGAGGTATATTCATTGCCTCTTTTAACTTCTAAAGTCCTTTGCCTAGAAATTTGCACTGTCCAGGTTATGGATTCGAGTGCCTGACCTTTCTTTCTATGTACTTTTTGGGTTAGGCACCTAAAATTAAGGTTCATGTTACCTAGAACCTAAGATATTATAGTTACCTTCAAAATGGCACATGACCTGAAAGGACAAAGTAGGTATGTATACTGGAAATCTTTTAATTAAGTGACATACTAAACAGTAACTTGCAGTAAAATTTTCTATTGGCTAGAAATCCTAGTCTGTTTCAGACCTCCCCTTCTCAGCCAGACCCTACGTTGTAGAAGTATGACTTTTGTATTTGATGTATTTTTCTTATGGTGGGAGTTTATTTTTCTCTCTGAGAGAGTAATGCTATTTGTTGTTCTAAAGGCCCTTCTGAATACCTAAATTTACTAAATATTCAGAGCTGGAGAAAGTTTACATTGTGACATCCACTTGTGAAAAAGCCGCTGTTGACACCTACAAAACAGCCTCTGCTCTGGATTCACCTCACAGGGAGCTGAATCTCTTCGCAAAGCCACTGTCTAGGCCTGTTTTAGGGCTCTGGAGCCTCTACTGAGATCACTCATTAAAATGGCCGTGTCTCACCTACCAGAAGTTAAATTTTATTCCTGGCCCAGCTGAACCAAGAAGTTGTTGGGAAATATGAACTTTAGGATGTAGCAGGCATAGATCACTTTAAAAAATAACATTTATTGGGTTTTGGTTTGTTTGTTTCTTAAATACAGAAGAGTATAAAGAAGAAAACAAAAAAAAAAAATGGCCTATAATCCCATCACTAAGAACTCCTGTTAACATTTAAAAAAAATAAAAGTAATACATGCACTTGATAAATTTCAAACAGTACAGAAAGGTACAAAATGAAAAGTCTCCTCTTCTCAAAGGTAACCATCATCAACAGTTTCTTGTATATTCTTCTGGACAGATTACTTTGTGCATATTACAGCCTATATGTGTATAGCATTTGAAAATGATTTCTATATACAAAAGGATTATACTGTGTATACACTATCCTGTAGCTTGTTTTTTGCACTAAGTATAATTTGGAGAGCTTTTCATATCCACAAGCATATTCTGCTTTCCTTCATTCTTTTGATATAGCTGCATAATGTTCTATTAAATAAATGTGCCATAATTTCTGTATCCAGTGTCTTATTGTTAAAAAGTCATGTAGGTTGTTGATGGGTCACACTTAAATCAGGGCCGACTTGATTTCACATTAATACTTCCCAGGCCATTTAGTTTTTACACGGAATTAGATATGTAAACATCATAGCTTAGAATCATCAAGTTTTAGAGATCATCAAATAAGGGACAAGATAGTTAAGAAAAGATTTGGAAAGTTCTTGTGACCTATAGAAAAATTCATCAGTAATGGGTAGTGTTACTTAAATTCTGTCTGCTCATGTCATTTCTTAACAGACCATTCAAGGTGGACTCGATTGGTTGATATCAACCTAGTACGGTGCCATGCTTTGAAGCTGGACTCCTTTGGCCAGTTTATTGAATTATTGCCCAGCCTGGAGTTTATTTCACTGGACCAGATGTTTCGTGAACCACCCAAGGTAAGTCACATTTGAGAGAATTTTTGTTTACTTACTTTGATACTCAGGGAAGAAAATAACAACCCGTAATTTTTTTTTTTCTATTTAATAACGTGCCTTTATAGTGTTATAAAAAGTTGGGCTTTTTACTGTCAGCCTCAGTGAAGGCATAAAGGTTATAATGATGCCTGGCCTCCTGTTTTTATGAGTATTAAAGGGTCTTTGGGGAAGAAAAAGGAAGAAGTAAGGAAGCTATCTCCATCAGTTCTATATAAAGCAAAGATGAGGTAAAGATAAGGCTGGAATATTGAGCTACAACAAAAATTACTACTTGGAGTAATTAGGTGGTAGATTAAATCTCTAAATCTTTAATACTGTGGAAAGTATAAATATATACTTTCCAAAGTATAAATAAGGATTCAAAGTTTATTGGGAGAGCATTTTACTTTACCACTATCTTCTCTATTAAGTTATATAAACTGGGAAATCTGAGGTTGCCCTGTTGTACAAAATGTTATTTTAAAACGGCCTAAAGTATTACGCTAAAGGTATTAAACATTTTACTTACTTAATTCTTCAACTAGTTATGCTCTCTCTTGTCAGTTATTAATGGTTATATTCCCACTGTTGAAGCAGTGCATTCTGGGGAAAGCTCAGGATTTTCAGGTCAGAATACTAGGTTTCAAGTCCCTGCTGTACCACTTACTGACCATGTGCTACTGGGCAAATCTCTGCATTTGTTGTACCTCTTAGTCTGTAAATCAGGCTAGTAATAGCTTATCTAGCTTGAAGTACTCTGAGCCCTAAATGAGCTCTTCATGTGTGAAAGCATTTTATAAATAAGTGCTTTATTAATATTCTAATGTAAAAGCAGAATGAGGGCCTACTATAAATGAAGTGTTTGTTCTGTACTAAGCTAAAAACGTGTGGTTTGGTTTTGCCTTAGGGCTGTGCTCGAGTTGGTCTGAGTGCAGGCACGGGAATTGGGGTTTCCTCAGCCCTTGTTAGTAACCAGAACTCCAACAATGACAATGATAATAATGCCCAGAATAACAATGCCAACCTCCATGACAACAATCACCATCACCCAGATGACTCAGATGAGGAGAATGACTTTCGGCAAGATCTGCAACCCGGAGAGCAGCAGTTTGCAGCCGACGGTAACCCAGATCTTTTGTGAGCTCCAGATAGAAGTGATTTTTACTTTGGATCATTTTTCTCTGACTTTATCCTGTTCCCTTTTCCCTTGCTTCAACTTTTCACTTTCCATGTTGAGGAGAGCTAATTAACAAGGCACATGGGGGGGAAGATGAAATATTGCTATTAATTTGCTTGTTTTGAAACCATCCTTGTCCACAGGCTCTATAAGGGTGCTCACATAATGAAAAAGACTGATAGATGCCATGGGGATGGAGGTGCACTGGTCACCTTAGAAGCCTGACTTAACTGAGAATTGACTTTTAGGATTTAGATGAAGGATCATCTTTTAATGTTTCCCTGACCAGTGGCTAGCATGAAAATAGAGATCACACTTGTATGTTTCAAAAACTGAAAAATTAATACCAACTATGTGCTAGACATTGGTACTTTTTATGTACTATTAATCATTAAGTCTTTAGCACCACCCAGCAAATTAAGTATATGAGCTAATGAAAACCTCTTCAGTTTCAGTTATGTAAAAATCATCTATCCAGTTCTTTAATATTTACTGAACACTTGCTGTGTGCCAACCTAAGTGTTAATAGGCTCCATCTGTTGTTCTATTGATGCGTGAGGGTGAAGATTATTTCCTTACTGAATTTTCTTAATTTGACCCTTCAGAACTGAAAACGGCATTTTTTTCTGGTCATCTTTTTCTTGTTCCCCCTTTGCCCACTCTCTTTTGTTCATAATAATTCTAGAGCATATTTGGAGGATGATTTCCCTTAGAATTACTCTGGGTATATACAGGTCCTGACCAAAGGATCATCTGTAGAAATTTCATCACTTTCTCATCCTACATCGTATCTATAAGAACTTTCCACTTTGGCTTTTGGGAAAGTCAGCATTGACTGTCTTACTAAATCTGGGAGTAATTTCTCCACCTAGGAGAAATTATTTGACATTTCAGCAGCATTTGACATTGTTGCATACTTCTATATTCTTGAAATATTTTCCTCTTGGCATCTCTGAATCCATTTTCCTGGCAATTCTCCTGCCTCGTTTGACCTGCCTCTTCAGTTTACTTTTCTTGTGTGACCTCCTCTGTTCCACTTTTATCCACGATTTCCCTTTTTCTGTACACGTTTTCATTCAGTCTCATGGCTTTAGGACCAACTAAATTCCACATCTGTTATATCCAGCCTTGACTTTTTTACTTTTCTGAAGTAGCTATAGCTATGTCATAATTATAGAAAGACTTTGTAAAGCTTAAGGGTGGGCTGCAATCTGAATAAAATCCCAGTAAATGTATATTTTGGGCAGGTAATTGTCAACCACTAAATAATATTGCTGATATTAGAGATTGTTGCATACAAATTATTTTGTTAAAATCCAGTGTGTTCTCTTTTATTTTCTAATGTTTGATGAAGGTTATAAATTTTATAGAAAATTTTCTATAAAAGACACTAGTTAATATGTTTATAAAAATAGCTCAAAAGGTCATTAAGGCTTATAATAATGTTTAATAACCACATTTTTCATAACTATAATAATATTTCAGCTAACCCAAACATTTGATAAATGTTGATACTTGATTACAAGTTAACCTACATAATTTTCATAAGTTATAAAAGCTGTATTGCCCTAACAACAAAATATTTTAAAACAAAGGAAAAAACATCAAAAGCAAATCACTTTTTGTTTTCTCTAGACCAAAGTCACCATCATTCAGTTTAATTACAAGAGACTAAAATCAAGGTGTTATTCTCTTTTCTTCACTGCCTGCCTGCCTTCTACAACAGCGAGTCCTTTAGTAGGTTTGTGGAATGACTCGAAAACTTCTTTAAAAAAAGGCATCTTGTAATTTTAAAAGATATACCTGTTTATCTCGCCTTTTGCATTGTATTACCATTGTATCAGACCTTTTTCACATAAATGTTTTAGTGGTTTTCAAACTGGCCTCCCTATTTTCTCTTTTGCCCAACTAAAATTAGATCTTAGCACAGCCAGGGCAGAGTTACTGGAACTCTTCAGTAGCTTCCCATTGTATTTGAATAAAATCCAGGTTCTTGAATTAAGTCACAAAGTGATACATGTCACAAAGCAATTCATGATCTGGCCTGTCCTCATCTTGTGCTCCTCCCTACCTCTCTTACCATACTTGAATACCCCAGCTGGCACCAGCCGTTGCAGTAACTGCTCCCTCCATCTTTTCATGGCTGCTCCTTGGCTTTTAGGTCTTAGCTTAAATGTTAATTTCAGAGATTTCTTTCCTTTCCACTTGATCTGAAGTACCCACCAATTCTTTCTCTATCACTTTATACTTTTAAAATTTTGTTGCATAAGCCATTACTATCTGATGTTTTTATTAAAAAAAAAAAAGTTTGTCTCCCCCAAATAATCTCTAAGAATAGGGATCTTAACTATCACTTGCTCATCACCTAGGAATAATAGGAATGGTATA